ATAAAGAGTGGGCCCACTGAATCAATTTTACTATTGGTATTAAATTCTCTACAGATAACGTACTTCCTTACTGCCTGCACCCAGGAGGACCACTTACACCTCCACACACACACCACCACCACCACTCCCCACCCCGCCCCCCACCTTGGCACATCACTGCTCAACAGGACAATGTCCACCAGTCAGTCATTCCCCTCTTGGTCAGGTGTGGGAAGAGAGAAGATGCAATCTCATGTCCACCCCTTAGGGGTGACCTGATATAAGATGACGCAGGCACAGGCATGAATTTTATGTAACCCCACATGGCTGCTGAGGACAGTCATTTCCTACCAGGGAGGGGAATGGGCACTTGGCAGGAATTCAAGCCCTAATTCACATGGTAGGCTTTCTGAGTGGGGCTTGGAAAGGGCTCTGGCACCCACTTAGGATTTGCTGGCTTCTTTTATGGTAAACATGGGAATTCTTGATCCTTCCTTTGAGCCCCTGTCAGGGTGGGCAGCCAGTGGTCCATGGGAGATGCTGCTGATGGTGAGGGGCAAAGAACAAAACAGGAGGAGCCTCTGAACATTCTTTCTGGCTGTTCCCTCTGCTGGGCATTCCCCTTGCCCCGACCTGTGCCTATCTCCCTCTCAAATCAGGGAGTCTGAGTTCTCTGCATATTTTGGATGAGTAAACTGGAGCAAAGTTATAGCCAATGTGGAGCCAGCTGGTCAGACTCCAGTGGGGTGCGGAGGGTCTGTGTAGTAGACCTCATGCCTCCACCCGGGCCTTCCTCTGCCTCTGTCCCCAAGAACCGAGAGGGAATAAAGGGCAGTGGGGAGAAGACACAGGGTTGGGGCCCTGTTCCCAGGAAGCACCCAACAAGGTCCTGCTCAGTGACTTGTTAGGCAGAGGAAATCCTTGTGAATTGAAAAATTTCAACAGAAACATCAGGGAAAGAAACACTGGCCAAGTAGGTAAAGAAACCTTGGCTATCTTGTTAGGCAGAGGAAATCCTTGTGAATTGAAAAATTTCAACAGAAACATCAGGGAAAGAAACACTGGCCAAGTAGGTAAAGAAACCTTGGCTAGGAAAATGGCCTTCTGTTCCAGCTTCCGCAAGGGAGTTCGGACAGAGTCCGCCGCTCACAGCCAGGCATTAACATCCACATCGTGAGTCATGCTGCCCTCGCCACAGCCCTTGGGGGAGGACCAGCCATGCCCATTTTACAGATGATGGAACTGAGTCTGAGAGAGAGGCAGTAACTTGTGTAAGGAAGCCAGGCTCTCCAGCTTCGGGGAAAGCAGAACCCTGGCATCCCTAGCCCAACCCCGCTCCCCCACACCTTCCGGCTCCCTTCACAGGCCCAGGTTTCCCTGTCACACCCCGCTGCCTGCAACACTGTGGCTGGCTACCGCCAGAGGAATGCCAAGCCCAGCATATTTTGTAAGAAGGGAGTGGTCCTGAACTTTGGGCCCAACATAAAGGATGTTAGTAGGTGTTAGGAAAAATAGCCAAGTGTGAAATTAATTCCTGCAACCTCCCAGGCAAGCTGGGAACCTTCACTTCACCATCTGACAATCCCACAGCTAATAAATCAAAGAGGGCGGCCAGGGCTGGAATGACCAAAACAGAGCTGAGGGCCAGACCCACACAGAACCACTGAGTGGCCACTGGCCTCTCCTTTTTGTCTCCAGCATCCTTCTGAGTTGGAGGCCTTGCTCTTGCAGGGAAACCTAGAATCTGCGACAGGCCCAGGAGGGTGTCAGGGCTTCGGAATGGATGGATCAGCTTGAGAATCTCCGTGAAGATATCTCTACCCCCTAAAAAGCCTCCTCCTGAGAACTCTGCTGCCCTGAATTGTATTCCCAACTGATCAAACCCCATCCCACCCCTTCTCACTATAAGCCTACGTCTATGAGACAGAAATTGTTACAGAACGGACTTGTCAGGAGCTTCCCTTGTTTTTCTCCCTCTCTGAGCCCTGGCATGTTGGGTCTGTGCCTCAAGGCACATTTACAACCTGACTTCTTCTCCTGTGGGCATATGAATTCCATCCCACTGGTCCCCCAGAACCAGAGCTCTGGGAAGGCAAGGCTTGGGTGTGGCCTCATCTTTGCAAGCCAGAATGCTAGCTCTGGGCCAGGCTGCAGCAGGAAAGTAGAAATTGGGGAGGGGAGGGGAGGAAGGAGATGAAACAAGGTAGGTAGCATCATTCAGGACCTGGGATTTTACTGATAGGGTCACCGTAAGAGCGGAAACCATCCATCCATAAACAATGGGTACCCACCATAAGCTCAGTGCTGTTATGGACACTGAAGTGACAGCAGGGACAAATGCAAAGTCCCTTTTCTCATGTCATTTACATCCCAGTAGAACTTCAAAAGGGGGCAGTAGTTAGGACTCTGGATGCAAGTGACAGAAAGCAAGCTGGAATAAGCTTAAGCAAAAATGGGGACTCTACTGACCCCAGTGACCCAAATGCAGGTCAGGTGGAGGAAGTGCTGGCCCATAGGGTGGCTGGAGGCAGGGTCCTGCCTGTTCCAGCTCTGCTCTTGTCTCGGACCCTCTCTGGGGGGGCCTGCTTCATCACTCCCACTGCAGAGCCCTCTCTCCAGGAGGCAGGGGACGTGATGCCCAGCCGCTTCAGACTCTGCAACTCCGGGAGCACAATACATAAGGGGTTTTGCCTTCCTCACTCCAGATTTTAAAGCCACAAGGATCATGATAGGCTCAGGCAGTGTCATGTAACCACCCCCTTGGACCAATCATGATGGCCAGAGAATTGGGTCTGCTAGCAGAAGGTTCAGGGCAAACACATGTGTACTCCCCAGAGAAATGAGTTAGTCTGCTCCTCACATCAGCTCTGGAACGAAGGGTGTCTTGGTCCATTCAGGCTGCTGTAACAAAAACACCATAGACTGGGTGGCTGATTAACAACAGAAATTTATTTCTCACAGTTCTGGAGGCTGGAAGTCCAAGATCAAGGTGCTGGCAGAGTAGTGTCTAGTCTGCCTGCTTTCTGGTTCACAGACAACTATATTCTTGCTGTGTCCTCACACAGCAGAAGGGGAGCTCTCTGGAGTCTTTTTATAAGGGCACTAATCCCATTCAGATGGGCTCCACCCTCATGACCCCAGCACCCCCCAAAGACCCCACCTCTTAATGCCATCACCTTAGGGGTTAGGAGGCAACTGTGAATCTGGGGGGACATAAACATTCAGACCATAGCAGAGGGCAGGAAGAAAGGATAAGTGCTGGGGCCCCCTTTTTCTGAGAAACCGAGGCCTTGAGAATGCTTTCCCATCATAGCACCACTAAGTGGGGCCTGTGCCTGCCTCAAACCCAGCCCCTTGATGACCAGGCCACAGCCACCTCCACACCAAAAGAAACTTGGTTGAGACTTAATTCCTACTGCAACTGAAGTGAAAGAAGAGAAAATGGATTTTAAATGTTTCGAGAAATGTCGCTGAGATTGGAACGGCATTTTCTAGCACATGTCTCAGCACAGACGCATGCAGGGAAGGGGAGGCAGCCTTGTTCAGAGTAGCATCGTGGAGCCGTAAACATTAGGATGGGGAGGGGTGTTAGGAAAAATACATCCATCCAGGTGGGAGGCCAAAGGAGTCCATGCAAAGCTGGAAACGGGAAAATACCAGTGAACGTTGAGTACTGGACACTATATATTGGGGGAGCACTCTTCCCCACCCCGGAAGTTTCCATTGGGGGTGGGGAGGACCCTCATTCCTGCTCCCTGTTCCACTTCCTTCTCCCAGGGCAGAAGAATGGACTCACCAGATTGGTGGGTTTGGGAGAAGGAGGAGGGGGCCATCCCCAACTCTGTCCCTCTGGGCATGCTCCTATCTGATCAGTCCCCCACAGAGAGGGGCCAACTCCCATGAGAAAGAAGTTGCATTATTGGCCTCCCTAAATCCCCAACAACATGGACTGTTATAATTATCCAGTGACAGAGTAAGCATCATTATTATTCCCATTTTAAGGATGGGGACACTGAGGCTAAATGATGTAAGACCACCCCACTAGTCAGGGACGCAGCCAGGACTCAGAGGCAGGTGTCCCAGACTTCCCCACAGCCTGTGCCCTGGGCCTCTCCAGGACTCGGGCTTGGTGACTCCTGGTTGGGTCTCTGTCCCTGGCACCTCCACTCATAGAACAGACATCAGAGAAGGCCATCAGACACCGCTGACTTCTAGAAGCTTTCGATGGAAGACAGCCACACTGACAGAATTATCATCAGAAAGGACCACATGAGACGCTGTGTTTGACCTTATACAAAAACAGTGACCCACTTAGAAATAACACCTCCTACCTCACAGTTAGTGTGTGAGCATACAATGGAAAAGTCGGTGCAGCCATGAGAACCAGGCAAGGTGTGCAGTGAATGCCCGATACATTCTGACTCCTACAGTTGTCTGTGTGACCTTGGACAAGTCACCTACCTTCTCTGAATGTTGGCTTCTTCCCTGCATGATCAGTGAGACGATAGCCCTGAGGGAGGTGGTTTATATGAGGGCTACAGGAAAAAGGTGAGAGAAGCTCTTTGCGATGTGTCCAGCTCAGGGCAACGGCAGAGGGTTTAAAGCTTCCTTAAGCCCTACAGGAGCCCCTGTGAGCTATCCGGGATTCCTGACCTTAAACCAGTCCTGGGATGACTCACAGAGGATAGGATGGCTGCAGCCTGGTGAGAAAGGGCCATTGTGATGGGCAGAGCATTGTAACCTGGGCTTGGGCTCTGTGTCACTCATGTCAGCATGGGAACATCAGCAGACCAAGGACAGCCTACTGATTCACCTTAATTCCCCCAAACCAGTACAGGACCTGGCATTGAGGGCCTGGGTGAAGAGCTGTGGGGTGAGCGAGCAGGTCAGCACGTGAGTTAGTTAGACCCACAGATATTTACTGAGTGCCTATGTGCAAGGAGTTATGAATTGAGAGGTGAGTAAAAATGGCCCTGTCCTCGTCCTCCTGCAGCTTCCTGTCTGCTGGGGGGTGGGGGGAGGACACAAACAACACAAATAAATTCATCACAGAAGCCTTGTAGGCTGTAACATGGAATTTGGAGTTTTATCCTAAGTCTAAATGAAAGCCATTACAAAGTCCTCAGGGGGAGAAACGTGATCTGATTGACATTTTTCAAATCACTCTGGCCGCTGCGCGGAGAACATATGGGAGCTGGAGTCGGTGTGATCACCGCAGGTGTCCAGACAGTGGGTGATGGTAGCTGAGATGGGAGCGGTGGTCGTGGAGATGGTGGGTAGAGTAGCTGGATGGGGCTTGTATTTTGGAGCTGGAATCCACACCGTGTGGTGTCACTGGGAATGGAAGGTGAGAACGAAGTGTCAGAATGATCCCCAAGTTTCTGACCTGAGCAACAGTGTGGATGGAGGTGGTGATGTTTCCCGAGGTGACAGCATAGGAGTTGAGTTTGGGACTTGGAGAGGTGGGTGTGCCCCAGAGTCACTCAGCCAGGGGTATAGGGGGCAGCAGAGTATTTGGGGCTGGTGCCCAGGGGACAGAGGGCAAAGAAATGACGGACAGGACTGAATGGGTGACAGACGGGTGATTGGGTGCCATTGCTAGAGCCCACGGTGGGGGGGCCTGCTCTGCTTGGAATCAGCTCATCAGAGGGCCTCAGCAACTAGGCCTGGGTGTCCAGACGTCTCCCCCACACCGTGCTCCTCCCAGATCCCGACGTCTGGGGCCTGCCGAGGACTCCAACACCGCCATGCACAGTGCTGTGGTTTTCAGCATAGAAGAGTATGAACAGGGAGGAAGGGGGTGGAGGCCTCCAGGGCGGAAGCAGCCTGCAGGGAGGAGGTGGAGGAGAAAGAGGGGCCCAAGGTGTGGCCTGGAAGCTCCTGTCCCAGGCTGAGCTGAGCAGAGGGAGTCACTGGCTTCCACTTTACATCCTCTGCCTCCAGGGGAGGGTGACTTCCCATAAGGTGTGAACTTGGTGACAAAGCCCTGGCCCTAGGGACCCTCCTCTTCTCTGCCTCCTCCCTGTTTCTCTGAACTCCTTGCACTGTCCCCAGTGCCTAGAAGTCCCTCTCCTCCCTCTCCGCACCCACCTTCCAGGGCCTCCATCACCCCGCTTCGCTTCCACTCGCCCACCTAAAGGCGGTGTCCTCCTCTGTTCTCCAGGTCCCCGTCACAGCCTGTATTAGTCACCAGGTTCCAGTCCGACCACCAGATGGTGAGCAGCTGAGGGCATGGACTGTGTCCCAGGCAGCTCAGCTACCATTTCAGTCTCTCACCCCACACGTACTAGGTGCTTGATTGATGTTTGGTGATTGAGTAAAAAGTGCTGGGTTCCTTCTTCTCAAACTGGAATTAAGAGCTTTCTGTGTGTGTCTCTGTCTCTGTCTGTCCCTGTCTGTCTCTGCTTGTCTGTCTCTCTCTCTGTGATATGATGGTGTTCAGGGTCGGTATGAGGGGCTTTTTTGTTAGGGGACCTGCCTAGCTCTGGATGGTTGGGGAAGTTTTTTCTCACCAGATTTCAGGTCTGCCCAATGCACCAACCAGCTTGTGTCCAGCCTTGTTCCACGAAGGCTGAAAAGGAGAACAGTACCCTTCACTGGGCATTCACAGGAAGGCTGTGCCCACCTCTTTGCTGCACTGGTGAATCCTCTCAACACCCCCATGATGTGGGCACTCTGATCCTCAGGTCATGGTTGAGGCGGTACATTCAGAAGGGTCAGGGGACTCAGGAAGGTGACTTCCCAAAGACTCTTGGCAACTTCAAGTGGGCCTGTCTGCCCGCAGGGTCTCTGCTCCTGGTTGCTGGCCTCCTGCCTGCCTGCCTGTTGGGAGGGCCCTCGGGAATGGCCATGCAGAGGGATCTCGGCAGGAACCAGAGGGGGACAGGAGGAAATCATATGACTTGGTGACTCTGGGCCCCCCAACCCAGGGGCACAGAGACAGTCCCTCTGTGACTCCCATCCCACCAGCCTGGGAGCCAAAAGCACAGTGTCTCTTGCCTGGGACAGAAAGGCACAACCCTTACATCAATGCCAGTAACGGTTTACCCACTTGGCTTCCTGTTAGGTTTTTTCTTCCTTCCCTGCAGCAGTGTCTCTTATCTTAAGCTTCATAGGGGGTTTTGTGCTGGACTGTTGGCCCTTGGGCAACAGGTGGTGCCAGAACCAGCCTCCTGGGGAAAGTGAGGAGGGAAAAAGCAGGCCAGTGGGCCCTCAGTTATCCCCACGGCCACTGGGCCCAAACTGGGTGGGACAAGCAGACCCTGTGCAGCCAGGGCCACAGCCACATCCAGGTGTCCTGCCAGCATCAGTCTCCATCTTCCAAACAGGAACAACTAGGGCAAATGCAAGTAAGGTAGCTTGCTCTGAGCTCCCTCTGACTGCAGGGAAGAGGCAGGGAGCTGCAAAGTATCCACAAAACAGTAACCCAGGGACAGCTGGGTTGCCGGGCTAAGGGGCTGCTTTGTTCCCTGAATTAGGAGCTCTGGGTTATTCATGACTAATGCAAAGTGAGAGAATCTGCTGTAGAAGCTGGCCTTTCCTTATCCTGTGCTGACACCCCACAGTACAAGCTCTGTCTGACCCTGTGGCCCAGTTCTAAAAAGTGCCCTGCATGCTCCTGGGGATCCTATGGTATAGACCAGCCCCTAGCCCTGAATCCCACACCACCCTGGCCCCAGGTTGCCCTCGCCAATCTTCCCAGAACCCTGGGCAGTCTGGGACCCTGTCTGCACCTGGTCATCCTCCCCGCTCCCAGATGCCAGGGTCCAGTCCAGCCTCACCCAGTGCTGCCAGGCTGCTTGGCCCTCCTCCCAGCCCCCACCCACCCACCTGAGGGACCACCTCCTGAGCAAACATTCCTCTCACCCTGGGAGAACAAGGGTCTGGACTCCTGATGACCAGTAAGCCTGCTGGCTACCAAGCCCCCGACCATTCCTCTGCACCTGAATGGGATCCAAGTTCAAGGTCAACCCAGATCTAACGAACCCATGAACCTCTGTCCAATACTCCGAACCTGTGCAGTGTCTGGGCCAGGTAAGGAGCAGGTGCAATGACTCAACAGAGGCAGAGCTGAACTTGGTGTCAATCGGGAGAGACACTCATATGGCAGCCAGGACAGAGGTGTGGCAGAAAGCTGGGCTGGTCAAACTGACCAGAGATGGAAGAAAAAACTCTCACCTGTTACCCAGAAGCAGGTTCCCGCAGCCAAGTGGGGCTCTGAGAGCCAGAGCCTTGCGCCCCCTACTTCAGTGGAAGTGCAACAAAACACAAAGCCCAGGTGGAACCCTAACAGTCCTCCTAAGCCCCGGCTGTTGCTCTGAGATGGAGGAAACTAAGTCAGTGCTGCAGGGGCTCACGGAACCTCTGGGGCACTGCCTCAAAGGGTGGTCAGGTAGAAGGAGGGAGGAGGGGACGTGAGAGCCCCAGGTGGCCATCAGTGGCCTGCCTGCCCCCCACCCCCTCCACAGCCGGGTAGGACAGCGCTGGAAGGTGGGCTGAGAAACCGAGGAAAGAAGAGAGCACGAGCTGCGAGCACAGAGAGCCTGGGGCTCCCACACCATCGCTGTGATGACACACATGGGGACCACATGTGCCTAGGGCCTTGGGTAAGATGGGGACACGGAGACACCAGGGAATGGAAAGAAAACTGGTGCGTGTGAAAGTCTCTCAGGTCACTCATTCATTTTCCCAACCAGCTCATTCTTTCAACAAATACGGATGGAGCCTCTTCCAGGTACACAGCCCTGGGCAGAGATGAGAGCCCGATTGGGGCCAAATGGCCTGAGTGCAAATCTCCACTCTGCTTTTTTTGTGAATTGTGACAAAATACACATGACATAAAATTTACCATCGTAGCCATTTGTAAGCAAGCACTTGACTGTGAATTGTGCAGAGGGACTGGCCTGGCTGTGCTTCTGGCTCCACCTGACAGATATCTTTGCAGCACTTTCTGTCTCCCAGTGGGCAAGGCTGTGAGGAACACACACTGTGGGGAGAAATCCCAGGTCTTTGGACTGCTTCAGCGGTGTTTCTGGTGTGTGTGTGTGTCTGCGTCTCTCTCTCCAGGGAAGGAGGTCCTTGGACTTCACTTCTAACCTCTCCACCTCCCATCAGCGTGCCTACCCTTACTTGGAAAAACGCAGATGCCTCTTTGGAAGTTTGAGCCAGCCTGCTATCTGCTTCCCTCTGGAGTTGGGAGGGTGGGAAGCTGGGGCCACCTTCAGAGCAACGGGAGGAGGGCTGGACCACATGCTGGCCGCTCTAGGAAGGAAACTCCAAGGGGCAAGTGGGAGGGTGGGGGCTATCAGGGCGAGGGTAACAGGGATGTTCGGGGTCTGAGGGAGGGAGGGGTGTGGTGAAGACCTAGGAGGTGAGAATAACTGGAAATGAGAAGTTTGGAGAAAGAAGGTCACCCTTTCCCCTGAGAAGCAAGAACCCCTGGCGTGGACTGAGCAGTGACAGTCCAGGATGGCGGGTTTGGCCCCAGTCAGGAGAAAAATGCCTACCCAGATGTCAGTGGCTCCGGAAAGCAGGACAGAGGAGGGGTCCTCCCGCTTCCCACCCAGAGCTGGTGCCTTCCCTCCCTCAGGGACACGGACTGAATTACAAGTGACAAGAAGGGACTCTTAGGATGTCCCCAGTGGAAAGGCCCTTAAATCCAGCCACCTCGTCGGACAGACTGGGAAGCTGAGGCCTAAAGAGGCGGAGTAGGGGGCGGGGCCCCGCCAAGCCCCGTCGGCGCGCACCAGGCAGGGGGCGCCCTTCCCCGCAGCTGGCCGCTCCGCCCGCGCCAGGAGGGTCCCCTAAGGAAAGCTCTCTTAAACAGTTTTTCCTTTCGCGTGAACTCACCGCCTCCATCCAGCCGCGCGGTCTCAAAGGTGAACATCACACAAATGCGTTACAGATGTGTTTCCTTCCATTTTTGGCTACCGCGGCGCGCCTGTGAGCGGCGGCGGGCTGGCAAATCCAGGCCGCGTTTTCCGTCCCGCCCGCCAACTTTTTCAAGCTGTAGTTATTTGATAATGATTTTTTTTTAACCTCTCCCAATTATTGTTATCCTCCCCGCCCGCTGCGGCCCAGGTGATGGGCACAGGCTGCAGACGCCTTCTCATCCGCCGTGCGCACCACCAACGGAGCCACAACCCCGCACCTTCTGCAGGGCCAAGGGGGCGGGGCCGCGTCTGCCCCAGCTCGGCCCTGCAGGGCGACCCCCAGCGCCTCCCCACGACGCTTCTGCGAGGACTCCCACCCCCAACCAGGCCACCTCCGCCAAAGTCCACTCCCCAAGGGCCATGGCTGTCTGACGGATGACTGAACAGAGAGGGTGTGCTGTGCAGAGTTACAGGCAGCAGACGTTTATTGGCCACCTACTGTATTCCCAGGCTCTGAGCAAACAAGTGACAACAGACCCTCAAGCTTCCCAGTCTCAAAGGGGACTGGGCCACACACCCCTTTTTTGGAAAGCTGAAAGTGCTTGCAGGGTGGGATTCTGGACAAAGCTGCTCAAAGTGGCAGGGCTGGACAGGGATGGCCTGGCCCACCTCACAGCCCATGATAGAGCTCTCCAGTCGCCATAACCTTTGTCCCCTCCTCCGGCCTCTACAATGGAGCACCACTAGCCTGGATGAAGACTTCTCAGAGCCTCTTCTAAGAAGCTGTAGAGCTCAGATAATGTAGTCCCATGGGTGAGTGTAGATGAGGCCAGGGCTCAGAGTGTTGGGGTCCCTGAAGCCACCCAAGCAGATGGCTGAAAGGCAAGCCACCGAGAGAAGCACTAAGTCTTATGTGGAGTTCACCCCCAAGAAGAGGAGCCAGGTGGGGAGCCCCAGGTGAGTTCCTGAATCTCCACCTGAAGTCACATATATTTCTGATGCTCAACCACAGTGGTTTGAGCAGAGCCCTTTGCTGGGGGGACGTGAGTCCACCCTCAAGCTTGCTTACACCCCCACAAAGCCCAGAGTTCTTTATTAAGCCTGAATTGATTTAAAGTTTTTAAATAAATACATTTAAGGTGGAATTTGAGCAGCAGGTGGTGAAAGGGGAGGAAGTGAAATATTACCAGGGCAGAGGGGCAGGAATTAGAGTACTGGGAAGAAAGGGAACTATCTCAGGTGGGGGCTGCCCTCTCCAGAAAGGAGTGTCCTTGGGCAAAAATCAGGTCATTCTGCCCCTCTGTTCCTCTCCTACCTGCTCTCCCACAAGTCTCCTGCCAATGGACTGGCTCCGAGATACATTGTGCTCAAGAGATGCCAGTCAATGCCAGTGAGTCCTGGAGTGGCTGGAGAGAAGCACAGAAGGGGTTGCAGCAGCCCCAGTGCCCACGGAGGGTTTCCTGGGGGGCCTGAGAGGGGCCTGACTTGCTAGTTGATAGTGGCTCCTCATCCTTCACTAATAAAATCAGACTTCCAAGTGTGGCTTCATGAGCCCCTCTTCATGGATGCCAGGTGTGTACCAGCTCCTGCCTCGACCTGGTCCGTGAGTAGAGGTGATATATTCCCTGTCCCAGAGTCACTGTGGGCTCAGGGGAAGCCACAGGGTTACAAGAGCCAGTTCCCACCTGAGTGGGCCTTCCCGCCTTGGAAACCTCCACCACTATCCACCTCCAGGCACCGGATCTCCAGCCACTTGGAGCCCCTGCCAGCCCTAACACCCTGCTCAGACCCTTCCCTGGGATGCGTGTGCACACGCACACACATGCACACACACACACATACACACACACTCATATTCTCTTGACCTTTTCTGTCTAGAGTCTCCACTCAGCCAGTGCTGGACAATACTCAGTGAAGCACCAGCAGGACCAAAATAAACACAAAGACAGAAGAGTTTCATTGCTGAGCATATCCAAATTTTCCAATCAGAAAATCTAGAAAGAGCTCTTTTATTTCTGGCATATATGTAAGTTTTGTGATTTAGGATCCTTTCCTATTTTTAATTCTAGATGAGCAGGTCACATCATCTGCCCAGTGTGGGACCTGCACAAGGTCTAGATCAGGGCTTCTTCCTCCAGGAAGCCTTCTGGGCACTCCAGAAACAGGCAGTGTCAGATTCTCTCTGTCATGCTCCCACAGTCCTAGGGCTTCCACCATTGCTGCCCCAGCACAGGGTACTGAGGTTGTCCATTAGTCCATCCCTCTCCCAGCCCGTGAGCCCCTGGGAACAGGAAGTAGGTCTCACTCCCCACTGTGTCCCCAAGGGTGCAAGGAAGCTGTCAGGGACTGTTTGTGGACCTGAGCTTGATAAACGGGCCAGCCGAAGTGATTTCCCTCCTGCTCCAGCTGGTACCCCTGAGTCTTGCTGGGATGAGGCATGCCTGGCTGGCCCTTTCACAAGTCTGACAACTCCCCCCCCACTGCCCGCACCCCCACTGAGTGGTGGAACTCTCGTCAGAGCCTCAGAGAAATCCCTCTTTTCCTGTCTCTCTGGGTCCAGCCTGGCCCTCACAGCCCTCCAGGAGGGGGCTCCAAGGACTCCAGTCCAGCCTGGAGGAGGGGCATCAAATGCAGGGCTGGAGGCCCCTTGTCTGCACTGAGGCAGGATTTATCTCAGTTTGGGGAGGTCCGGGGCCCCGGAGCCCTAGATCATCATTAGTTCCATCAAAGAGGCGGCTATGATCTGAAGGGGCAAGATGCACGGCATCCAAATTGGAAACAGCCTGGTGGGTTATGGGGCAGGAGCCAGGCAGGGAGAGGGCTCAGCTATCCCAGGGGAGCCAGGGACACTGGAGGAGTCCCACAGACAGTGCACAGGAAGAGGAGGAGGAGAGGAGGAGGGGAGAGAAAACATTCTATTCAGGCTCCAGGGAAGGGAGCTGTTGGAGGCGGAACAGAGCCAAGTCTTCAAGTCAGCACCATCTCCCCAAGGAGGCCAGTGAGAGAAGGGGGCCGATCCCGCTCATGACACAAAGGGCCTACTGTGTGTCTGGCTCCCATGGTACACACCTGCGTGTGCCCTGCTCACCACCCATGGAAGCAGAAAGCGTTGTCTTTGCTTTACAGATGGGGAAACTGAGGCTGAGGGGAGCAAACTGATGTGCCCAAGGCTACCCAGGGCACCTGGCAGAGTGGGGATGCCAGCCCAGGTGCCCTGGTCTCCAGGATGTCACATGTCCCAGGAAAGGCAGAGCAGGTGGAGTGATGGACTCGTAAGGTTCTCCATGCTTGTAGCTCCCTGATGGCACCCAGCACAGAGGCAGCAGTCCAATTTTAAACTCCAGGTTTAACAGAGAGAGAGAGAGAGAAATGAGACAGAGAAATATCTTTTAAGTATTGGGAAGTGACTATATGAGCAGACAGAAATGGAATCTAAATGACACGTGTAATTATAAAAACAAATTTAAAAATCATTTCCACCCTACTGCTCTTTACTGACAGCCACCCTCTTGCTGGGTTACCCCCCACACACACTCCAGAGGATTCCCTTTAATCTGACTCCACAGGCCTCCAGACATCTAACACCACCCCCTCAGACTCCCCCAAAGCCCATCTCCATGGACAGAGAGCACAAGAGTAGTCCAGGAAGGACATTAAATATGTACAAGGCCAGGTGGCAATTCTTCTGAGAATAGAGCCAGAGAAATGCTTGGGCTAGGCTGAGGGAAGGCTGACAAGATTCCTGCCCAAGGGTGTTCCAGAAGCTTTACATAAAATGGCGAAAATGGGAAACAGCCTAAACTTCCAATACCAGTTAAGTAATTCCACGTGATGGAATGTCATGTCACCATGATAAATGAGGCTCGTGGCTGTGGTTCAATGACATGGGGATGTGCTGTCAGTATGACATGAGGCCCTGTATGAGGTAACTTTCGTCAAGGACCTGTTGCAGGGCCTGGCACATTATAAACACTCACAAACTGGTGACCAAGACTGGTACATGATAAAAAACAGGAACAAAAAAATACATGTGGAATGATCCCAATTTTGTAATACAACAACAAATGCACAGAACAAGGCAGGCAGAAAATAGAACAAAATATGGCAGAGCTGTGAGATTGGAGATTTGGGGATTCACTTTCCTGTGTTTTCAAACTTTTCTAGGATGAGTAGGTTTTTTCAATTAGTTTTAATGAGTTAAAATTTTCCAGCATTTTACTATGAAAAATTCCAACCATACAGCAAAGTCAATGAATCTTCCCGGGTTCCACTGCTAACTTCATATTACACTTAATCATGTTTCCATCTACCTATTCCTCCCTCACTCCATCCATAAATCCACCTTAAGTTTTTTGAAATGCACTTTAAAGTAAATCGCAGACAACAGTACACTTCTAAATATCTTAACAGACACGTCAGGAAAAATTGTTTTTAATAGTTGCCTAGAGGACAGAGGCTGCCCTTACCTCTGAGCAAAGAAGCCCCAGTCCCACCCTCCTTGCAGCAGGGCAGGAGGCCGTGGCCGGGTTGGGGTGAGACCCAGCTCTCTTCCGTTGCTCTCTGTGTGACCCAGTCAGTTCCTGGAACCCTTTGGCTTCTCCCTACCCGAGGCAGGGATAATGAGATGCAAATAAACCTCTCCTCTCCCAATCATCTGAAGTCTAGTGACGGTGATCTGAGATAAGGCCTGTACTCACCTTGGGCTTCCTGCAAGGGTAGAGTTGTCAGACTCTGTAAATAAAAATGCAGGACCCTCCTTTACATTTGAATTTCAGAGTAACCACACATTTTTAGTTTAAGTGTATCCCTGGTACTATTTAGGACATAGTTATACTAAAAATGTGTTCGGTCTGTATTTTATCTGGCCACTCTATAACAAGGTGGGGAAAGGGAGGCCCTCCAGAAGTTAGGAACTAGATTGGGATCTTTGGTAGCAAGGTCTCACATTTGTGCTGTACTTTATAGTTCACAGTGTTTTTCTGTCTGTCACCTCACTTGATGCTCTAGCACTCTCCAGCAGAGTACCATTTTATTACCAGCCGAAAAAACTGTGCCTCAGGGAAGTCTAGGGTCCCCACTCTTCTAACCAGTGCAGAGTTAGAGCTCAGTTTAGAGTCTGGCCAGCAGGGGACGCTTCCCACCACCCAGCTCCTCTCTTTGAGACCTC